ACAAAAACAATATGTAATTATTGCATAATGTATCAAATGTTGCGTATGTAATTATAATATAATAAATCAAAATGTTGTATAAAAGCATTATTATATAAAACGGTCTTTTATTTTTCTGGCCCCAAAGCTCAAAAGCAACAAGTGTTGAATTACATTACATATTCTACTACTAACACTATTCAATTTGAATACCTAATCTAACCTTAGTCAATTCACGCCTATTATAAATCCAACATCCTAACCCTATCTTAATTGAACGATTATGAGAAAGCCACTACTTGTGAAGTACTAACAATATACAATATAATAAAGTTAACAAAGTGAATAAATGAAATCACCAAATAAGCATTGGTTGAGCGTGTTTTAAAAGCGCCAAAACAAAGATAACATATATAACAAATATTCACTCAAGACCGCCAGATGAAGTGGAAAAGTGATTTGTTAGAAAAAAAAAGATCGTTAGTTCAAAGCCAGGAAAACAGAAAACAAGAAACACAATAAATACCCACCTAAGACCAGCAAGCAAAAAGAATAGGAGAGAAAACCCCTGGGAATGAAAAATAGACGTTAGTTTGAGTGTGTTTAAAGACCAGAAAAACAGAAAACAAGAGACACAATAAATACCCACCCAAGACAGCAACAGAAAAGACAAGCCAAACCACCAATAAAGAGAAATAGACGTTAGTTTAATATGTTCCAAAAACAGAAAAACAGAAAACAAGAAGCACAAAAATATCCACCCAAGATTGGCAAATGAAAGCAACAAACGAAAACCACCAGAAAAATAAACAAAAGTGATAAGTGACAAACGAAAACCACCAAAAAAGAGAAATAGGCATTAGTTTAACATGTTTTAAAAGCCAAAAAAAAACAGAAAACAAGCACAAAAATATCCACCAAGACTAGCAAACGAAAGAGACAAGCGAAATCATAGAAAAAAGAAATGGGCGTGAGTTTAACGTATTTAAAACCAGAAAAACAGAAAACAAGCCAAAATACCCACCAAAGATTGGCAAACAAAAGCAACAAGTGAAAAAAGAATGAGATTTAGTTTAACATGTTTCAAAGCTAGAAAAATAGAAACAAGCGACAAGCAAAAACCACCAAAAAGGATAAACAAAGCGACAAGCAAAGACTATCAGAAAAGAGAATAAATGTTAGTTTAACATGTTTCAAAGCTATGAAAATAAAAAACAAGAAGCACAAAAATACCCATCCAAGCTGGCAAACGACAAGCAAAATCACAGGAAAGAGAAATGGGCGTAAGTTTAACGTGTTTCAAAACCAAGAAAACATAAAATAAGAAGCATAAAATACTCACCCGAGACTGGCAAACGAAATGAACAAGAAAACAACCAGGTAAGAAAATCGGTACAAGTTGAACATGTTTTAAACTCCAGAATCCAAATTTGAAACCACCTAATTCCAAACAGTAAGAAGAGCAAATAGCGATCACCAAACCTAACGACATTAAAAAAAAAATTATAGTTAGTATAAAAAAAAAAAAAACAATCAATGATTATCAATTGATGATCTCTGTTTATATACTCCGTGACCAGGGGTGCACTGTGATGCATAGTGCACCAAATTATAAAATCTTTAAAATATATACTTATAAAATGTTTATTGTAATAACAAAAACTGAAATTCGGATCTTGTTAATATAATAAAGACTTTTAGATCTAAATTTTAATAATATATACTTAAAAAAATATTTTATTATAATTTATTAAGTGAATATTATTAAAATTTAATTTACGAATATATATTTATAAAGATTTTATTGTAATAACAAAAATTAAATTTTAGTTTTTAATAATAGAATAAACTTTTACAAGTATATCTATTATAAATATATATCTTTTTTAAATATACTATTTATTTAATTTAAATTTAAATATATTTACTATATATTACAAAACCCGAAATTCAGATTTTGTTATTACTATTACTATATTTATTTAAAATAAATTTTAAAATATTTTAGTTTTTTAATTAATAATTAAAAGTTATTCTATAATAAAGTCAAATATTTACTAAGTAAATTAATTTAACTTATTAAGTAAATATTATTCAGAAGATCAAAATACATATATTTTGTAAGTTTTATATAAATCAAATAAGTTTTTATTATTAATTTTTTATTTTATACGCTAAATTAATATTATTATTAAAAAATTTTTAATTTTTTATTTAAACAAATATTTAAAAACATATTTAGAGTTCTAATCCGGATAAATCCGTCATCCGTTTATCCGTATCCGATTATCCGGATAATCCAAATTGTTCGGATATCCGGATAATCTGACGGGTTATCAGATAATTATCCGGATATTAATAGTAAAATGGATATCCGAATAAATTCAGATTTGGATATCCGATGGATAAATGGATAAACGGATAATGGATAGAAACACTACCCTAAACTTTACTCCACAATTTCGGGTAATCGTATAGTAACAATTGTTACCCGGGTCCAATCCCTAATAATGTTAATGCCCTAGCTATAACGATAAACTTCTATCTCAAAATTCGATTTCCTTTTTTAGTTTTGTAACTCGCGCAAATAAGTAAAATCGGTAAACCTATAAGAAATATCGGAAGGTGATTTGCAAGGCAAAGACCTCATATATTCTAATTGTTAACAGGTAATTAGTTAGGTAATTCGGTTCACTTATATTATTTGAGATTGTCAATAATCATTGGATCGAACGCTAGACCAAAAATAATATTATTGATTTTTTATTTAAAGGTTTGAGTCAGCTTGTAACGCAGAACAAACCTTTTGACTTCAAGAATATTAATAAATTAATCATTTTTACTTTAAAATTTTGACAATGAAATTAAATCTGTTTTTTGTAGCGTTCACCTTTGGCATCTTGATTGGCAGCGTAACTGCTACTAATAGTGACAATAGACAACTTTTCAAAAGACAACAATCAAGTTTGTATCATCTTGAATTATTCTAATAAATCAGTGAATGCTTTTTGACATTGATTGATTGATTTATTCTTTTTGGTTTAATTTAAGCTTGCAAAATTGATGACGACTGTAAGGAAACATTAGTTTGCGTTTACGGTCAATGCGCAGATTCGGATAAACGACCTTTTAATGCTTCGTGCCTCGTTGGTAATGCATGCGCAAGCAATTTTTGTATGATTTTTGCTGATGGTCGGCAAGGATGTACTCGTACCTCAGGAGAAAAGTGTAATTCCGATGAAGAATGCCCCAAAAGTGTTTGCTCACAGAACTCAAAGACATGTGTAGATGCCGATAACCGCGCTCCTGGGCGACATTGCATTTTTTTCTCAGTGTGCAAGTGGTCGTTGTGATTTTACTTCTGGAAAAGGAAGATGTGCCCAGAACAATGGAGGACAATGCAATAATGAAATGATACCGACTGTGCGTCTTTAGTTTGCGGTCACACAACTCGCGTGTGTCAAGACACAGATGATCGTAAAGGGGGAGACACTTGCGAAAAAAATAGTGCAAACTAAAGAGTCACAATCGTTATCGTCTTCGCATTTTTTCCCATTGCTCAGGGTGCATTTTCCTGAATCATCATTACACCTATTTGGACCGCACGCGGTCAAAAAACTCAGGTGTGTCAAGATAAGGATGATCGTAAAAGGGGGACCCTTGCGAAACTTCTAGTGCATGTGAAAATGGTGACTGTCAGAATGGATCAGAGTTAGTAGGCGACAAAGGAAAATGTGCTTTAGAACTAAGCAATGGGAAAGATTGCAATGACGATAATGATTGTCTCTTTAGTTTGCGGTCAAAAAACGCAAGTGTGTCAAGATATAGATAATCGTGATGATGGAAGCTTTTGCGAATCTCCTTCCGCGTGTATGTCTGTGAATTGTGATGATAGCGGAAGATGTGCGCTGCAACCCTAAAAACATGTCATAATATTATCTTTAGAGAACGTATTAAAAAATGCACTTGCAAATGCAATATAAATTTACACCAATTGAAGTTTTGTGAATAAAATATGGCTATAATAATAAGACTTGAATTTTCTAAGTTAATTAAACAAGTATAATAAACAGTTTATTAAACAATTATCATAGTATTGATTATTAAAAAAATTATCATAGTATTAACACACTTTAATATTTTTTTATTGTGCATTGTAGATCGTTACTGTTTATGTTTCAAGTTGGTCACAGTTCA